CTTCTGCTATACCACTCATTTAGTAATTAGTCTTGCAGTGAAATAATCCCATAGTGATGTCACTTGAACCATCATCTTACCTAACCTCTTGTTTGCATACATTATTGTTATTTAGTTTTCCATATGTTTATGTCTTTTTTCCTGAAAGACTACATATTTATGTCCTCACCACTATCTTGTACATGGTAGTGTCTCAGTAAATACGACAGAGCCGTCCAAATCTCCAGTGAGGGCATGCTGTTTTCAGGACAGTTTATTTTTCTGTTAGAAAGTTATTCTTACTGTAAAAATTTTAAATGCCTATAGATGACTTAAAATCATAGGATCTTAAAACACAGACACTATGCAGTCTACTGCCTTCATTTCATGATAGAGGGAACCTAAGTTTAAGAGATTTCCCCAAGGCCACAGAGCTATTAACTTGCAGATCTATAGCCTTGAACCCTGGTCTCCAGAGTCGCTGTCTGTTAATATTATTTCAGTTATTAGAAAACAATTTCCAGGCCCCTCTTAGTCCTCTTAGGCCATAAGGTTTGAATTTCTCATTATCTTGGACACTTTTCTGGTTTTAGCCCTGTTTTCCAATAATGTTACTAAACAAAAACTCTCTGAGGTGCTATGGGGGAATGAAAGCATTCATTTATTACTCATATCATTTTCACTGAGTATAATCTTTATGCAAAATACCTGGTATTCTTGTCAATTAAACATTGATCTGCCTTTTGATTTGGTCATTCTACTTGTAGGAATACATTACATCTTAAGGAAATTAAAAAAGGAAAACAATACCAGTTTAAACAAAGATGGATTTAGATTGCTATCTAGAAGTGGTTCAACATTTGGACAATGTTTGTAGAATAACAAATAGTTGCAGAAAATGATATGTAGACTAAATAGCAATAAAAAATATTGTAAGTGGGAAAAAGTAAAACACAAAATGGCATATCAATTGCAATGTATAGGGATGTGACGAAATTAGGGTTATAAATTTTGGATCCTTAAAGATAAGAAAGTTCTTTGTAAATGTTTGTTGTTTTGTGTGTTTCTGCTTCCCTGGCATCACTGATCAGTTCTACCATAAGGACTATAGTGCCCAGAAGTTATCATAGCTAGAGGATGTGTTGTTGGGGGACGTAGGGGAAGGTGGGTAAGGAGAAATGGGTCTTGATCATGCCACAGATGGCCTTGTGTATCATTACACTGAAGAGTGTGGTCTTTGACTTGTGGATGTGTGTTCCAATTGCCATCTGTGAGCTTTAAAACAAAGCACACAAGCAAACAAAAAGCACTACAACCATCATTTCTAGTGATGTGTCTCTTACTCATCCTTTGATATAGCCCAAGCTAGGCAAGAGGTTTAGAACTCAACAATAGAAAATTTGACGATCAACTAAAACCTCCAGGTGCTTTTTTTCACATATTCTTCTTCCAAGCAAGTTTTCACCAAACCACAATTGTTTCATTAATTTTACACCTTGATATATAAGAATTTTACATTTGTTTCTGCTGATATTTTTCTTACAAGTTCCAGTTCAGTACCTCAAAAATGTAAGAAAAATTTTAGCTCTTTTAATGAATCTGCCATGATGATCATCATAAAAGTAGCTAATCATTACTGAGTGCTTACTGTGGTTCAAGCGCAGTGCTAAATGCTTTGCCTCATTTTATCCTCAGAACAGGCCTACAAAGTGGGTATCATGACATCATCCTTGCCAAAGATCATTTAGATAACAAGTGTCAGAGACAGGACTCAATCCCAGGTATGTCTGATGCTAAATCCCATGCTCTTAGCCACTACAATGTGCCATTTCTGAGCACTTTATTCAGTTTTATCCAAGCCACTAAAGAGCCCAGACTAGGGACCAGTCTCTGAGATAATCCACTAGACAGTTCCTTCACAATGGATGTATAGCTACTGATTCATGCTCATTGGATACTGTGATTTATCTAATTGTCAATTCGCTTGGCAAGACTATGATCCATACAACTTTTACTATTTTATTCACAAGACTATCCTAGAAGACTATTAAATGCTTTGCAGAATTGAAAAATATTATGATGATGACATGCCCTTTATATACTAGCATCTGCTTCTCTCCTCATTTTTATCTTTTTTCCTAAGAAATCTCCTCATCTACATTATCATCTCCTTCACTAAACTATGCACCACACTTTGAGCCTTGGTTCCATCAAACTGTAAAATGAAGACAATACTTACTTCATACATTTACATAGCTAGCGTGCTCTAAACTGATGCCCATTGTTTCAAATACTTCAGAGACCTCCCATCTTCCATTCAGGCTGTTCTAACCCAACTTCCAGAACCCCAAGAACCTCAGGAAATTTATAATTCTACTTTAAATAATAAATATGATGTATATATGTGTGCTTTGCTCTAAAAAGTATTCTTAGATTTGTATTAGATTATCAAAAAGGAATTATGATTTTAATGGCTATAAAGACAAATTTTCCTAAATGTTTATATAAAACTCTTCATGACCTAATTGCTAACTCCCCAAGCCTCGTCTGCTTCCGCATATCACCCTTCAATACCCACCACACTCACATACACGCACAAACAGTACCACACTTTCTGTGGTTTCTTAAATGTGTCTGCTCAGCTCCACACGTACATACAAGGTAGACGTCCTTCCTTCTACTCTTTGTAAGCTCATCTTCTTCCTCAGACTTCAGCTCCAATATCATCTTAATGAAACCTTCCCTGACCTATACAAGCATCATTAAGTGCTTTCATAGAGCTTTGCTCATTTTTTTAAAGAATTTATCAAATCACTCCATTTGATTGTAGATTTATCTATCCTCCTCACCAAACGCCAAGTTTCAATCGCATAGTAGCAATGACCCTGATAGAGTGGTAACAGTCCAGCCCTCTTACCACTGTGGCCTAATTTTAACCAACAGTTAGAGAAGCCATTCTTCTCCAGAAACTGGTAGTCGCTCAATAAACATTTGAACTAACAACTAAGAGCAACTAAACTGAACAACACCATTACAAAATAATGGCCTGTGTTTATTGTGCCTTTATTGTTCATAAACGTGCATAAATCTTACTTTTCTGAGACCCAACCGTGGATAATTCAACATGTATTTAGTGGAAGGCCAATATCATCCAGGCTGGGTTTTAGGGACTGTCAAGGTCTCATTAAAGAAGCTAATGCCATTGTAACTCCCTTTTAAAATGTAGGGCTCCATGGGCAGCAAAGACTTAGCCATGCATACTCCAACTTCAGACTCACCCAGTGAGTCTGTAATTGCCCACTTGGTATATAATTGCGTACTAAGAAGGCAAAATAATAATGTCCTCAGAGTCTAAGCTTTGAACTCATACATACCCCAGTGCCAATCTTAAACTTTATGCATACCAGCTGTGCAGGACTGAACAAGTTGTATAAACTCTTTGAGCCTTGGTTCCATCAAACTGTAAAATGAAGACAATACTTACTTCATACATTTACATAGGTAATACATATATAAAACAGTAAGTGTGCAACAAATAATGGAGGTAATTAAGATTAGTGAATGTTGATGATGTTGATGATCACAATGCTGCTGCTGATGACATCAGTACATTGAACTGTAACTTATTGAGGGCAAAGACCATGTGTTTGTGAATCCCCAACACCTACCATAATACCTGATACATAGTAGATATTAGATATTAGATAACTGTTTATTAAATTAATTGTCAATTGCCAAGTCCAAGATATTGAAAGCCAAGAGGAGACAGAAAAGAGGCTAGCATGAACTAGAGTGATCAAGGAAAGCTTTATTGAGGAGGGAGGTGTATGAATGGTAAATTATTTTCAGACCTGGAGAAGAGGACAAAAGTTATTGAAGGCAAAAGAAAACAAGCCTAACACTAAAGTATATAGTCTATGCCCGGAGTGGGAAGGAGTAAATGCATTTTGTTTGGCAGGAAGGGGAAGCAGTGCGTATGTGACATAATTAAATACTTTATGTAATAATTACCAAAACTTTACTGCTCAATACCATGCCCACAGATCAATAACAAAAACAATTATCTTAAATGTTGATGCTTTCAGAAGCTACAGGTTACAGCAAAATGATACAGGAAAATGTTTCATTTAGAACACTGCATGGTATGGTGGGAAAAACATGAGTTCCATAGAGAGATACACCTAGGTTTGAATTTTTGTTTTGTCATTTAACTAACTATATTATCTTAGGCAAGTCACTTACATGGAGCTTCCGTCTCCTCTTCTATAAAATGGGAATAATCATACCTATCCCACAGGGCCGATGTGGAATTTGAATGAGATTATTCATGCAAGGCACCCGTGTTCGTACAGACATGCCTTGCCCATATCTGCATGAACACCTGTGTATAGCAGGTGTTCAACAGACATGAGAGCCGGCGTTATTTTTAATAGTGTGAATTAGTGCATTTATGTCTTGTGCTAAGTCAATGTGTATATTTTGGTTGTGCATGTTTTTGGACATGTAAACTTGAGCTTACTTGATCTGAGAGTAACTGGGCTTTTTGAAGTGGAAATAATCCAGGAAAAAAATGGGTAATGTGATACCACTTGGCTGCTATTCAAAATGAAGAAATGAAAAAAGTTTTTAGTATGGGCAATTGATTGAACTGAATGCTCAAATAGGAAACTAATAATTGTCTTTATTAACCACCTGCTGTACAAACTGTCATGCAAATACTGCCTTATGTTTTATGCAAAACATTTGAAAACCCCTATGACTTTGTTCTGCTTGGATTTTCTTTTCTGTGCCAAAATACGTAATTGAATTAATTTCAAGTGTGTTTGTCTGTAAACTAGCCAAATATTTCCTTTTAAATACTTGAGCTCTATGTTGAATATACAGAGTTATGGTTCTTAGAACATTTTTTTTAACATTAAGGGGTAGATTTTATTCCTTAATCCTTTAATGGGCTTTTAATTTCACATATACTAAAGTGTCTCTTAAGTTCATAATAAATGAAAACTTTTCATTTCATGCAGGTTCTTCCAGGGGACCCAGCCCCCTAACCATGGGAGCCCAGGACACTCTCCCTGTTGCAGCAGCATTTACAGAAACAGTCAATGCCTACTTCAAAGGAGCTGATCCAAGCAAGTAAGCCTGATACTTGGTCCATGCAAAAAATAATTCAGTTAGCAATAGTAGGTGGCACAGCTACAATAGAGGTGAAAATGTCATTAGGAATATTGATTTCATGCTTTTTAAAATGTATCAAGAGAATTTACTCTAGAAACCTTTGATTCCGTTTTGGTTCTAGATAACTTACTCTAGAAACCTAGAAATCTTTGATTCTGCTTTGGTTGCAAGTAACAGAAAACTCTAACCCAGTCTGTCAACAATGAGGAAATTTATTGTCTCACAAGAGTAACAGTACAGATCATGTCTTTTATTGTCTTAATCTTTCCTGGATGGGAATCACCCATGTATAAATTAAAACGATGGTTCACTGGAATGAGAACAAGAAAGAAAAAACACCTTCCCAAAACACTCAAAGTAGCAAGGGAACAAATTTTCTGTGACCCTTACTAAGTAAGGAAAAACTGGCCAAAAATGAAAGAGAAAGAAAAAAATTATAATCAGAACAAAGTAAAAATTCTAGGGAGAATTCACCACCTTCTATTTACATGAGCCTGATTTCACTTATACATGTACATACTGACAATGGACTTAGTCTGAATGCATACATGATATAATTAAATATTTGACCTCTTGCTAAGGAATTCCATAGATAGGATTCAGAAAATCGATGGTTTCCCTGAAATTATACTGTGTATTTTATGGGTGTGCACGTGTGCATTATTCTATAGAAAGAGTCTATAACATTTATCACTTACAAAGGGATTTGTAATCCAAAAAAAGATTAAAAGTGATTAGTGATCTACACCGAAAACTAAACAACTAAGTCAGACTTAGTTTCAATAGTGTCATTAATATAATTCCAGGTCTGAATTTGATCAATAAAGGGAACGCCTACGTGAGGAAAGAACTGCTCTTAGTTTTTTTACTTACAAAGACTAGGGCTTGGAAAAACTTAATATCTATGACATAAGAACTGGAGACCAGACATGGTGGCTCACACATGTAATCCCAGCACTTTGGGAGGCTAAGGCAGAAGGATTGCTGAGGCCAAGAGTTCGAGACCACCCCTGGCAACATAGGGAGATCCTGGCTCTGCAAAAAATACAAAAATTGTCTGAGTGTGGTGGTGCACACCTGCAGTCCCAGTTACTTGGGAAGCTGACGTGGGAGGGTCACTTAAGCCTGGGAGGCAGAGGCAGCAGTGAGCCATGATCACACCACTGCACTCCAGTCTGGGTGACAGAGCAACACCCTGTTTCAGAAAAATAAATACAATTTTAAAAACCGGAGAAGAAAAAGTCAATGTGTATATAGAAATCTAAAACTCAAAATCTAACAATATTATACTGGAAAACTAATATAATTAGTCACTCCACCTTTAAGTGTACTAGCCAGCCGCTAGGATCTATCAACTTCATGTCTCTTTAAACATCTAGGTTTCATTCTATGCCCAGAATATTATAGAGAAACAAACACTGTGGACTCTGGATTTTCCATATCTTTTCTCTTTCATCCTCAAAACAGAAAGGCCATTTGCCACATCCCTGTATCAATAGAAATTACAAGCTACCTCTTAGAGAGCATACGTCTGAACTGTTAAAGCAAGTAGACACCATGAGCGTTAGCTGTGGATATGTTTTATTCATACATATTTGTTCTGTAGAATCTTCTTTGGATAAAGGATTTGAATAATTTTCTGTTATTCCAGTTCTAAGAAATACTTACCATTGACTACTGACCATACCTTAGAAAATCAGGTTGACCTGAATTCAGAAAAGCAGACAGAAACACCCTTCTATGTTTTTATTTATTTTTTGAGATGGAGTCTCACTTTGTCACCGAGGCTGAAACACAATGGCACAATCACAGCTCACTGCAGCCTCAACCTCCCAGTCTCAGGCAATTCTCCCACTTCAACCCTCTGAGTAGCTGGGACTACAGGCACACGCCACCACACCTGGCTAATTTTTGCATTTTTTGTAGAGACAGGGTTTTGTCATGTTGCCCAGGCTGGTCTTGAACTCCAGGGCTCAAACGATCTGCCCACCTTGGCCTTCCAAAGAGCTAGGATTACAGGTGTGAGCCACTGTACCTGGCCAGAAATGCCTTTTTTAAAAATTAGAGTAGTCAGGAGTGTGGAGTGAAAGTGTATACCTAAGTGAAAACCACTGGGGATCCACAAGAATGAATTCATCTTTGTCTGCTTCCTAATTGGCTTTCATTCGTTCATCCACTAATTTATTCAGGGAGACCTAATTGGTGTCCCTTCTTCCACTTTTGCACCCCTACAAAGTCTCAACATACATGTCACTCTTCTGCTCAAAATCCTCCTATGTTGTTCAAAGTAAAAACAAAATGCTTCATAATACTCTTACGAGACCCTCCATGATCTGCCCTTGGAGACTCCCCCAGCCTCACCCCAGTGGCTGTTTCTCTGATCCCATCTCCATCACTCCTTTCCTTATCCCTGACCATGCCTCCAACCCTCACCTCCATATTCACTCCAGTCTAGCCACATGGCCTCCTGGCGTCTCTCTTCCATCACCCCAACCCATCCACACCTCAGGAGTTTTCATTTGCTGCACTTTCTGCCTTCAGATGCTTTCTCTCCTAGGTTCTTCTCCTAGGTTCTGAGTGACTTGTCCCCTCATTCCCTTCATGATTCTTCAGTAAATTTATCAAAGAGACCTTCCCTGTCCATTCTGTATAAAATAATAGCAGAGCTCCGCACCCCATCAACATTTTCTTCCTCTTTACCTCACATTCTCTGTCTCCATAGCCCTTCTCTCTTAACATCTTTTTTGTTGCTGTTGTCCATTATTTGTCTTCTCCCTTACTAGAATGTAAACACCATGAGAGCTGGATTTTGCCTGTTTGGTTCACTGTTGTGTCCTCAGCTAAACAGGACAAGGCATATTTGCTGAACAAGTTAAATTGAATTACTCTCCTAACATTTACAAAATGGCTACTATGTACCTGCCATTGTGCTAGACAGGAGACATATTGGTAATAAAAGCTCATATGCAAAATAGGACTTGTGCATAAATATAACAACAAGTGCACCATAGAACACGTGTAACTATGGTGCAATGGGAGTCAAGAAGCCCTTAATAACATATTTCTTAATTCCAATAAGTGGTATAGCAGCCTATCCCCTGTCAGCCTGTCACAATATAAGCCAGAGTTTTCACCCTGGTTCAGTTTCCCAATACACTATGACAGGTGTGTAGGGTGGTCTGCACCTGTAAGCCTGGTGTCTGCAGCCTTGGCATTCCAATGACATGGCACTTGAGCCAAATTAATATTAGTGACCCTTCTAAATTAACTGAGCCTTTGACTTGTGGATGTATATCTGTTTTTAATTTTATTGCCACAAATAGTTGTAGGATGTCCTGTATGCTGGTAGGTGGGAGATCCAATATATTTCATTAAAATTTTGAAATCAGAAACTTATAAATGAATAACTTATAAACATAAATGAATCATGAAGTGACACTCTTATATATTTAATTGCATCTTCAGCACCATGTTAATTGCTCTTCCTTTATTATTCACTTTCAAGGAAACAACTCAAGTTCTATCACCAGGTGGAAATAATGCCAACCAAGGTACCAAAGAGAGAAATGATTCAGCAAAGGCATTTGGATTTGATTTTATCTATAGTTCCCTGTCATCCTCCATCAAAGCCATTTGTTCTCAGACCATCCACTGGGAACAGAAATCTACTATCTTAATTAATATATACTATGATATGTAACCCATTTAAATATAGTTATACTCTAAATATTCGGAGCACCTGTAATAGGTATTCTGACATGTAAGACTTTCTCAGTAGCTCACTGACAGCGAATTCCTTGACCTTTGCTACTGATTGGGGAAACACATCTCCCACTATTAGTTTCTATTTAAAGAACCTTGGTGCTTAAAAATAAGGGTCAGAGATTAACTCTCTAATTCCCTAGAAAAGCTTAGGTTTCTCAGCTGTCTCTTATCCTTCTTTTATCGTCACATTTTAATTATTTATTCAGTATCTGTCTTCCTGTTTAAACTAGAGGTTTGCAGAAGGACCATTTGTCCAATTTGTCACTGCCAATTCTAGCACATTACATTGTGCCTGGTTTATTGTGTAGGCAGCCTATAAATAAATATGTAAATGTATAAATTTATATTTTAAACACTGAGTTCTTACTCTGAGTTCTGCGTTATGTACCATTGCCTTCCCAGAACCTATGACACAGAACTTGCCTTCACAATAGTAAATAAGATGTGCACAAAACTGCAACGCAGTTTTCTAGAAAAAGATTTGTACCCGCTCCAAGCAAACCCAGAGAAAGGAAAAACCAAGGAAGGCTAAATGGAAAGGATATTAAGAAATGTTTTGGAGCCGGGCGCGGTGGCTCAAGCCTGTAATCCCAGCA